GCTGCAGGTACCAGTGCTGATCGTCGGTAATTTCATTTCGTTCTTTACTTTTTACTTTAAGATTATGTGGCATACAGCTATAATATTACATTTCAATTTGTCAATATTTATGTATCTAATCACGGATGGCTGTTGCTAGTCTTTAAGGCGTAGGCGTTACGGTCGAATCTTAATTTTCGCTCCCCCCTCTTTTCCCGTGCCTATTTCTCGCAGACTAACGAAACTGCTATTCTCAACCAAATGAGATCAGAGATGTTGGCCCAGGAGGAGATGTACTCTCAGCTGCGTCGCGAGTTTGAGACGATCGAGGCAGACTTCAAGCAGACGGTTGCGCACAATGAACAGGCTGGCCCGATTCACAGCGAAATGCGTAGCCTCATTTCAACCCTACAGTTGCAGAACAAACAGCTGAAGGCGGAGATTGTGCGCTACCGCAGAAAGTGCAAGGAGTCCACACAGGACTGCGAAATAGTAAGCCTTATTTCCTTTTGACGGACAGCTATTGTAAAAAATTGTTTGCACCTGTTGCATCGCTGCCCTCGTACGCATAGTTTATTCGACAAAGGTAACCACCAATTGGTGGGCAGTTAGAACTAATTCTACTCACTGATTCAATTTATTATCCAGTCCTTATTGACGTTGGGCTTGAATTATGGCTGATTATGTGAGACATTCGGCTTTCAACCCATCTTTTGTTTTTTGTTAACTGGACGCCTCAGTACGTCACTTCTAGCGATCATCCGTTCTTGTGTTTTCTCTCTATCCGTCTTCTCACAAGGCATTCCATTTAACCAGGGGTTGTTTACCTGTCTCACTTCCATCACCGCGTCAAACAAAACGAGTAACCAACTTGCTATGCGCTCCTGTCTCATTTGTGGTACTTTTAGTTGACCAGAAGCTGGTTACTTAGTCAGTAGGTGTATGGCCTCCATCCTTAAAAAAAAGTGATACATATCGAAGTTTGAACAGACCTTTCGGTCAGCTTTAAACTAAAATCTCTGCTATTCCTGTTACCTGAAGGGCCTGCTTCTGTCGGATCGGAGTATTCTGATGTGTATTATAACATTCAGTAAAAAGACCCTATTCTCCTCTCGTCCGGTTTATATGAGACTTTGCTTTCGAATCTATTGAAAATATACTAAACCAAAGTAGCTAAACCATAGAGCTAAATATCTAAGATTAACGGGGCAAAGAGCGTTGTCCTTGGATTTTACCATACATGGTCAATCGGTCAACTCAGGTTGCTCTGAGATTACCCATCAAATTTATGGAAAAGGTCATTGTCGGGTCAATGTCTATAATTACTTCAGCAACGCATACTTACTAGCTTTTCTTGTTACGCCATTATAAGGTCTCAAACGAACTTCGATCCACTGAGGAGGAACTGGCTCGCGTTCGTTCTTCCCTCTCCGAGGCAACTGCGGCTGTCATTCATCTGACTGACAAGCTGGCTTCTGTCACAGCGCTAAACACGGCGGCAAAGTCACAAGCAAACAACACGCCTCAGCAGCAGTCCACCGGCTCCAGTACCAGTCCCCCCTCCACCACCGCCTCAGCCA